GAACGATAGAGGGATCTCATGAACAAGTAGGGATAAAAGTCTTGTTTTCATAAAAGCTTGTCATTTTTGTACCAGGCTTACCACACTGCTCTCATGATCGTTTAACTTTCCCAGTGCATCATTCTGAACATCTGGGCTTAGAGAATGGCATTGTGTGCGTAAAAGGAGCATCTGTTATCCTATACTGAATAAATTGCTTTCAGAATGTAACGCAGTCCCTTTAAAAGTTGCATTTACAGCTAGAAGAGTGCTATTATTATTCAAATATAAAGAAGATGCTACTATTTATATAATATTAGGGATGGGTTGGCAGTGAGCCATTCATATATTTCTGTCATTCACTCATTAATTTCTTTTTTTTTATTATACCAAATATTTATTGAGCAACTGCTATGCACAAGAAATGACTGGGAACTGTGGATATAAAAATAAATAAGGTATTCCTTCTCATACATAGTTTCTATTATGAACTGTTTGGGGAATATTAAAAATTCAGTTGGGTCCACCAAATAAGGTTTTAACCCTCTGACCAAGATAACCAACAGTTATTGGCATGAAATTAATGGCTGTTGCATCCTTACGGAGCCTGGTGGAGTAGTGTTAAGAGCTCAGCTGCTAACCAAAAGGTCAGCAGTTCGATTCCACCAGCCGCTCCTTGGGAACCCGATAGGGCAGTTCTACTCTGTCCTATAGGGTCGATATGAGTCAGAATCCACTCACCGGCAATGGGTGTGGAAACGAGTTTGGCCTCCTTATATTCTTAGTTACTTCAGTGTGGTCGGAACAGAAAGAATAACTCTTAAGCTTGGGCACTCTCTAATAACAGAGATAATATGGTTCATTAAATGTTTTTAAATATTCAGTTAAGGAGTATCCCTGGCAAATCAACAGATACGACCTTCATCTTCCATGAGTCAGAAGGCAGCAGCCCATGCTGCCCTCATGTCATAGCAATATCATTTCCCCACATTCTATTAACAGTAATTTTCATATAGCCTCTGATTATAAGGAATAGGAAAAAAATGGGTAAAGGAAATTATTTCTTCAAATTCCATGTTTCTTAGCTCTAACTGAGCTATGAATCTTAGTATTTCACTGGCCTAAATCAGAAGTATCATTTAAGTAAAATAAAAGCTAGCCTAGCCATTCATTCAATTTTTAAAAGGCTGCTCAATACCAAACCAACTCAGTGTGCAAATATAGAACTTAATTAAAATACTATATATAAAATATTAACAGCTGCTGCTATTAAAATTACATTAAACTCCCTTGAGTAGGCCAGCGTAACACGAGCCCTCTTTTTTTCCATTAAGTAAAGGACAGAACTTAGTCTAGGGAATGAGCTTTGGTTTTTATATTGTTTGTTCCAATTCACGAAATCTGAAATTTTAATCACATGAAAGTACTTTGCCATCAAAACACCGCCTAGCATAGGAACCTGATCTTTCCATTGGATTACCACAAAAATATCATCTTTTGTTTGTTTGTTTTCTTAAATGCAAACAATACTCTCCTATAGCAAGTTTCTCTTCTTTCAACGCAGAATTGAGCCCTTTAAATTAGATATTCTCTGCTTTTGGCCTTCTCTGTTGAGGGTTTACATAGAGCAGTTAATAAACTATTGGTAATTTGGATGAACTAAAGAGTTTAAAGAAGAAAGGTAGGTTTTATTTTCTTTGAGGATTAAGAGTATTTATTTGATCCTATAGGGTTGCTATGAGTCGGGACTGACTTGATGGCAATGGGTTTGTTTTTTTGGTTTTTATTCTAACAGGCCATCCAAACACTTTCTACTAATAATAAGGAACCCCATCAAAGAACTCAAATTAATCTTGTTCTCCATGTGCGCATGTGCGTGTATATACCAAACACACAAGCACATACACACACACACATATGTATGCATACACCCACAGACACACACAGACATATGTACACATGGACAGACGCTTATAATCTCACACAGAGAAAAGACTGGAAAGAAATATCCAGATATAAATCATTATTGTTCAATGAATGATGGACAGTTTCGTTTTGTTCTTTAAATCCTTCTGCGTTTACTAAAATTTTGACATTGGCCATACTTTACTTTCATATAGTTGGAAAAATCCTCATTTCCAGGTGAATGAAATACAACTGATCTGAAGTTTGATATTTTTTGCCCTCCAGAACTCCCAAAAGATGCCCAGTTAATCTGATCTATTAGGTTTTAAAGTATTATGAAACATAACTAAAAATTATCTATTCTTGACAATAGTTTTCAAACATTTACTCTAGATACGTTTTCATGCCATCCACAGGCTAATATTGCAAAACACAAGAGTGGCTCATGCCCCCTCCTTTTCTTTTTTTCCTGTTTGAAAGTTTATAAGCAGCAAATTAACTGCTAAGTGTGGCACAGGTATGCTGGGGAAGCCAGGGAGAGGCGCCCTGTTGCTCTATCCCTGCATTTTCATCGATAAACATTGTTTGGCTTGAGTGGAGGAAAAAAAACCAAGTGGAACTCAATTCCTAACGGACTCAGTATGGTACCACACCAGTTGCCATCAAATCGATGTCGACTCATAGGGCCCCTATAGGACAGAGTAGAACTGCCCCATAGGGTTTCCAAGGAGCACCTAGTGGATTCCAACTGTCGACCTTTGGGTTGGCAGTCAAGTTCTTTAACCGGTGCGCCACCAAACTCTTATTGCTGTTTTCTCTCAACCATCTAAGATACTGGAGAAAAAATATTAAAGTAGCACAGACTGCACAAAACGGTAACTAATCTTCCTTTGAGACTTCTTTATGAAAACACTTAAGGAGAGGAAGTTTCCAGAGAGAGATGAATCGGAAACGCGGTCTCCAGGATATCTGAGGATGAAAGCAGCGCGTCCCGACATCCCTTCTCTCTTCCATCCTTTCCCCAAGCTCACTTCCAATTTCATACGTTCCATTTCTTTATTTTATTAGGTGAAAAAGATATTTCCAGAAAGGCAAACACAACCTTCTTGACTGAAGCACAGAAAAACAAGGCATGGCTAATAGGGAAACAGGAAACAGATCGATTGCCGGGAAGCCCGGAGTCAACTAGTGACAAGACAGCGAGCACAGGGAGCCTGCGGGAAGAGAGCTCAGCCCAGGACCGCAGCACAGCCCTTCTGAAATGGCACGGTACACACGGATTATTAGATATGAAACAGGCTCTAAATGTCATCTGATTTTGCAGCTCTCAAATGCGGCTGATCATCAGTGCCACTTGGAGAGCTTCATAAAAATATAGAATCCTAGGCCCCATTGCTGTTGATTCCACTTCATTGTGTCTGGGATGAATCATTCCCAATCTCCTTCTTACAGGTGAAGAATTCAAGGCCCATAGAAAATGCCTTGGCCGAGGCAGTTACCAGAAAACTCAGAGTGGACAATACAGTATCTAAGCAAACACGGAAATGGGGGGAGGCGGAGAGTGGCTAGGTCTAAATTCAGCTGTTTTCTGTTTATAAGAAGAGAATTTGATTTCTAAATTAGAGGGACGTTCAGAGCATGGAAGTACTGGGTGAAGATAATAAAAGAAATATTAAAAAAAAAAGTTGCCGTCTAGTCTATTCTGACTCACAGTGACCCCATGTGTGTCAGAGGAGAGGTGTGCTCCATAGGATTTTCAATCGTTTGTTTTTTAGAAGTAGATTGCCAGGTCTTTCTTCTGAGGCATCTCTGGGTGGATATAAACCTCCAACCTTTTGGTTATAAGCTGAGCATATTAACTGTTTGCACCACCCAGAGACTGCAAAGAAGTATTAGGCACCTGTAAACCTGGAAAAGGGCATCATGCTTGGTAAAGTAGAGGGCTAATGAAAAAGAGGAAGACCCTCGATAAGATGGATTGACACAGTGGCTGCAACAATGGGCTCAAACATAGCAACAACTGTGAGGATGGCATAGGACCTGGCAGTGTTTCTTCTGCTGTACATGGGGTCGCTATGAGTCAGAACCAACTTGACAGCACCTAACAAGAACATAAACCTAAAACAGATTAATCTTTCTCTTTCTCTTCACTCTCTCTCTCTCCTTCTCTCCTCCCACTCTGCCATTCCCACTATGCTATTTCCTCTGTCTGGATGACTCTTTACCTCCAAAGTTAATACTAGTCAACCCCTAATTCCCTCCCAAATTTCAGTATAAATGTTATTTCTTTAGGGAAAATTTCCCTGTCCTCCTCAATCCCCCAGAAATAATGGGCAGCACAAAGAAGCCAGGGGAATAAATCCCTGCTGGAATGCCGTCCATCTTTCATCAGAAATGGAAGCTATTTGGAAGACAGCAGAGCTTTGCCTGTGTCCTTGAAATGCTACTGTTCAGATTAAAGTTTTTCCATGCCAGAGACCCACCCTGGATAAAGAGTGTGTTGTATTAAACTAAGGATTTTAGGTGTGGCTCATTCTGTGTGCATGGACACATATATATTTTTTGAGCCCTGGTGGCACAGTCGTTAAGAGCTATGGCTGCTAACAAAAAGGTCGGCAGTTTGAATCCACCAGCTTCTCTTTGGAAACCCAATGGGCCAGTTCTACTTTGTGCTATAGGGTCGCTATGAGTTGGAACTGACTAGACAGCAACAGATTTTATATATATATGTATATATATATATGAGTATATATATATGTGTATATATATGTATATATATATTTTATTTGCCACTTCAGGCACCTCCAAACATCCAATAGTAAAAGAGATCATTGGAAATTAAAAGAAGCCCGAATTTTGTCATTTGGCACCTGATCATGCAATAAATGTTCATTTAAGAAGCTATTCTGGAAGCCATTTGAGGATTTGGGGTTTGATGCCCAACTATAATGATTACTTAACTCCTTCTGATAGTTTATATGTTTATGAAACAGAAACAATAGTAGAAAATTTCCTTTACACTAAAGACAAAAATTCAGGGGATATTTATTAATACCTTAGAAACAGGGGATGGGTGTTCCAGGGGTAAAATAGTAGAGAAGAAAATAATAAATTACCTGACCGTCCGTCCCTCTGGAAGTCCACATGATACCATTCTCCATCATTCACCTTCTTCTGCAGAGCTTTTATTTTGATAGTACCTGACCCCATGTCCAGGAGGAGGTAGAGGTGGCCATCCAGCATCTCAATTGCAAAGAAGTCAACCTTTATCATCTGTGGGTGCTTGGCATCTTTTTGGTGTCTTGGCTTGCCGTGGCTAAACAAGATGAGGCCATTGGGCTCTGTCGTGCGGAAATCAAATGATATGGAGCCTGTTTTCTTTGCATTCCACTTAGGCAAAGAGATGAAAGACTCTGGTGTCTCAAAGGTGATTGGGTCCAAAGTTGCCACATTCTCACATTTGAATGCCACCACGCCGTGGATCTTCATCTTGGGGTCTCCTTGCTTGGCAAGTCGAGATAATTCCAGTCTTACATCATTGTTTTTATACACAACCTGTGGGCAGAAGACAGCAGTGAGAAACTAGGCCCCGGAGTTTAATATCTGAAACTTCTCATCAGCTCATTTGACTTGCAAAGAGATCATGAAAAAATCATCATGTTTAACTCTTTTCCGTGTATCAAGATAGAATATTCAGCCAGATAAAATTTGACTATCAACTCATTCAACAGTAACCATACCAATTTAACCTGATCTAAATGTGTGCTCACGTGTGTGCACATGTGCGCGCGCGCACACACACACACACACACACACACACACACACACACAAACTGCCTGTAGTTAATGCCAATAATTTGAATAAATCTGCATACAGGCTTTATTATGGTGTCTTAATTAGCATGTGAAGGCTTGAAATTATAAAAGCCATTTTGCTTTTGTTGGTTGGATTCTATACTTTGTTTATTAAATGTAAGTATTGAGATTTTTCAGTTTTCCCGTCAGTAAATTATTGAAATTGGATACTTTTATATATCAGTCCCTTAAAATATAGCGTGTCTTCTATAATCTATACAACCATAGTGCATAGTAACTTTGCAAGATAATCACAACAAGCTGAGTTAGAAAACAACCTGAATTGTCTCAAAAAATTAATCAAATACAACCAAGAGGCAGGAGCTCTCTTTCGTCCTGCTTTGCTTTGATAACTGCTTGAATAATGTTAGGTAACTCTGGAACGTGGTGTTGGCCCTGAATCCATTCAAACTCTGTTACTGATGTTCCATTTAATTTTTAATTTACACAAATATTAAGCAAAGTTTGTCTGGTATTCTTATTTTCCAAGGCACTTCATCTAAAGTGGTTAGGTGTTTCTGATCTCTTGTTGACGATTTCAGGACTTTTTGGACTCCAAATAACACACTGGGTAATTCATTGGCTGAGTTCACAACATCATGCATCTGCTACCATAGCAAGTTAGTACATTTGTAGGTATCCTGACATAAGGATAAAGAGAGAATTACGCCCTCTCTCTACGAAATGCATGCCGTGGATAATCACATTTCTAAAAGATATAGGTCATGCTGATTTAGGGATAAATTAGCTATCTACGTACGGATAAATTCCGTTAAGCAGATATTCAAAATTTCACAGCAGCCAACACTGCCAGGTTTTGATTTCATTTTCTACATACAAAAATATATTTATATAACAGAAAAAAATACTAAGACCGCCGGTGTCTGATGAATGCTATGAAGTAGACCAAGCCAACACAGCAGTTCCTTCTTTTAAAGCAACGGCCAACTGAATCAACAGCTAGTGTGGCTGATGAGCTTCCTGATACGATTTGTTAGTAGATGCTTCTATGTTTCAGAATGGTTAAGAGTAAAAGCTCTGGAATTGGACTGTCTGCGTTAAAATCCTAGCTCCAGTATTACCTAACTGTGTGATTTCTCAAAGCCTTGGTTTTCCTCCCACACAGATGGATAATAATAATAATAATAATACCTACCTCACAGGATGGTTATAATAATTAAATTTAAAAAGTGTATACAACCCAAAACCAGTTGCCCTGAGTTGATTCCGACTCACAGCGATCCTATAGGACAGAGTAGAACTGCCCCATAGAGTTTCCAAGGAGGGCCTGGTGGATTCGAACTGCCGACCTTTTGGTTAGCAGCGATAGCTCTTAACCACTATGCCACCAGAGTTTTCCAAAGAAAAAGAAAATGTATAGAAGTGAGATAATCTAGACAAAGGCAATCATTCCAATGCTAGGCAAATTGTAAGATTTTAATAAATACCAACTATTATTAAAATCATCATCATCTTTATTTTCATGTAGTAGACATAGAGATCTTAGTTCCAAATTAACCCCTGTAGGGAAAAGTTTAGAAACTGAGACATCCACATATATAATTGCTATTTTATACTTGATATGTGCCAGTTAAATAAGTCCAGTGCTCGGTCTGGTGCTTTAGTTTACCTTTATCTTGAAGAAGGATTAGTACGAAGAACATGATATCCCTTATTCTTTGAACAAATATATTATGGTTTAACAAGTATCTACTGACAACAAAAAAAGAGAAAATGAACTTAAGCAATAACAAAAAGGAATTAGATTAATTCTTAAGAAAACTCTCTTGAAAGGAGAAAGAGCTATTAAACCCTAGGAACGTTGATTTAGGATTGCCTTTCTTTGCAGATCTTTAGAAGTGGGGAAAATGCTTTTCATGGATGATTCTCCAAATTTTATAACCTCTCACTATTACTTTCATGCTACCCAAACTTGTATTTTTTCTTTTCATTTTTACTCGTGATTCATTTTTTAATACTTGGAAATGCTTTCAACATAGATATTGATCAGGAATGAGTATGTTCTGACCCAAGTGATGTAGATGCTTCTGTTAATCAGTGTTAATACATCTCCTGTGCAACGGAACCACAGTAATAGATTTGGGTGCTTCTCACGTGAGCGTGCTTCTCACTTGAGCAACTGGGTATAAGGTTGGGTACATTGTTTCATGAATCTGACACCATCCTCTAAAAACTTAAATTATGTAGGGTAAAGCAATTCTGGGAGAGGACTTCAATGAGAGATTTATAATCTCAGGAGTGAACTGGGTGCCTTGAGGATGAGAAAATTCCGGGAATGAAGAAAGAAAAGGGGAAGTGGCAAAGAGATAATTTCCTAGGTCACCTTAGCATTAGTCATATCCCCCTCAAAAGAGAAGACATTTCCACTAGAATCTATGCTTTATGCGAACAGGGACCAAGCTCACTATAGCCCAACACCAAGATCAGTGCCTGTCACAGAGAAGAAATAAATACTTGCTGACAGTTGATAAATTCTTCCTTCACTTTTCTAACCTACTTCCCAGATCAGAGACTATTATTAATAACAATATTTAGAACTACAGTTCAAATACCACAGGATGTGGTATTGTAGACCTATCCGATAACCTAGATATAATTTTTGGCCTATTTCTGTAGGAAAAGGTGGAAACTTCTGTGCATGTCCAGGTCATAAATTGCCAGCTGGCCTATGTATTGGAAAACTTCATCTTCAAACTCATCTTCTGGGGTGTAAATTACTGTTAGAGTGAAAAATGTCTGAGTTAAAACTCTTCAGAGGTGGAATCATTTTCCTAGAAGCACTATCTTGAAGAGAAGCACAACGTTTTTTTCTTCCCTCATTTTGCATTCTTTGAAAGGCTACTCTCAAAGACAGAAAAGCAATTCTGGATAGGCAGGTTGATAGCTCTTAGATTTACATTACTACTTCATCTGACCCAGATTTCATAATTATCCTACTTTTCTAAAGTTAGACTTTAAAATAACCTGAATGTACTTCAATTAGATTGTGCAGTAGCTAGTAAGTACTCCGGAGCCCTGGTGGCACAGTGGTTAAGAGATCGGCTGCTAACCAAAAGTTCGGCAGTTCAAATCCACCAGCTGCTCCTTGGAACACCTATGGGGCAGTTCTACTCTGTCCTATAGGGTCACCATGAGTCGGAATCGACTAGCTGGCAACGGGTTAGTAAGCACTCTAAATCTAAAAATTGAAGTGTAACCTAGTTTTGCTTCTTTCTAAGATAATGTCGCACTCAATAATGGAATTATTTTATAACTATTCATATATCTTTCTTCTTATTTATATTGAAAGTTGTAATTTATTTAATATTTTCGACTTCCAACAAATCTCTATGTACCTTATCATCTTAACTATTGGTGATAATATGATTGGACACTCATTGGGATCTGTTTCTAGAATTAAGGTTTCTTTTGGTATATTGTTTGGTTCTAAAGAGCAATTCAAAACTGTTGAATTTCATTCCCTTGCTTCATGGGCCTTTATCATAAATACAAAAAAGACAGAAAATTTGAAAGAGACTTTAGCTTTTTTTTTTTTAATCTGCCATATAATTTCAACACATTGCTATGATGGTCTTTTCCCTTTTAACAATCATTTGTTGTTGTTAGGTGCTGTCAAGTTGGTTCTGACTCATAGCTAGCCTATGTACACATTCCTTGCTATGTTTGAGCCCATTGTTAAAGCCACTGTGTCAGTCCATCTTGTTGAGAGTCTTCCTCTTTTATGCTGACCCTCTACTTTACCAAGCATGATGTCCTTCTCCAGGGACTGGTCCTTCCTGATAACATGTCCAAAGTATGTGACATGAAGTTTTGCCATCCTCGCTTCCAAGGAGCCTTCTGGCTCTGTTTTTTCTAAGACAGACTTGTTCATTCTTCTGGCAGTCCACGGTATATTCAATATTCTTCACCAACATCATAATTCAAAGGCATCAATGCTTCTTTGATCTTCCTTATTCATTGTCCAACTTTCTCATGCATATGAGGCAAATGAAAATATCACGGCTTGCATCAGGCGCATCTTAGTCCTCAGAGTGACATATTTGCTTTTGAACACTTTAAAGAGGTTTTTTGCAGCACATTTGCCCAGTGCAATAAGTCATTTGATTTCCTGACTGCTGCTTCCATGGGTGTTGA